GGCGCACGGCTGCTGCGCAGGCGGCGTGAGCCCCCGGGCCACGGGGCCCCCACCTGAGTGGGGGCCGGGCTGTTGCCGGCGCGCCTTGATTCAAGTCTTAACCTGTTACTAGAATAACATTGCTCATTATTTTGCCACTATATGTATCACTTCAACAAGCATGAGAGATTATATATTTTTTAAACTGGTATATTTATTATTTTTCATTTATTTGAGTAAAATATATATCCATAAAATTTACCATCTTTCCTCTCAGGGTTATAGGAACATCACCATCAGCCATCTTCATGACTCCTGTCATCTTGTAAAACTGAGCCATCTATAACCATTATTATATAATAATGTCAAATCTTTCAAGTCCTCCCACCTAACCCAGCCTATGGCAACCACCATTCTTTCTGTACTCATTATTAATACTCTGAACATTCCATGACCACTTTTATTGTGGAGGAATGTCCCCCAAATTTTAAAATACTGGAAGAAATTGACTCAATGACACTGGTTATAGTGGGATAAGAAAAGCTTTACTTTGGGCTATCATGATAAGAATATGGTTCGTTGAAATGGAACTTTGCAGTGGGGAAGAGAGATTGGGCTCAACTTCAAAACAATGTGAGCAGTGGATATCAACAACTGAGGAGCAGTGTGGGGAATATCAGATAGAAAATTACTAAGCAAACATTAGAGATATAAGAGATTATGGATAAACTGAAATAACAGGATTCTTACTAAAGACAGACACGGTGATCAGACATCACCTTGGGGGTACTGGAAGATAAGAAACCTAATCACTTATTTTAAATGATATGATATTTAGTGTGGGGCTTCTTGGAAACTATGTTAGCAGGGGTTTTTGCTAAAAAGGGATTTTACAAGGAAGTATGCAGAGGAAACTAAACGATTGAGAGGCCTGACTAAAATTTGATCAAGCCAAAAGTTTGACACATTTTAACCATGTCTAAGTATATGCAATTTAGTACTGCTCAGTATATTCACATTACTGTGCAACCAATCCAGTCAGTGTTACAAGATACAAAGAGTCATATGGCTAGCATTAATGCTTGCTAGACAATGTGAGTACACACAGTAAGTTTGGTCATCTCCCTTTTTACATTCTAGCTCATAGTGACTTCCACCAGCCTTTTTCTGTCACCACTGACCAGCTACCTAATATCCCATCTACCATGGTTTGTTATGGGCCATCTGGTGATGTAAGGCAAGCCAAAAGCAACCTAATACCAATTCACCTTGGGTTGCTTTCTGGACCAGTGGGTGTTTTGCTTTAGAACCTCTTGGCTAAGCTGGCCACAAAGGCTATGATCAACATCCAAAGAGGATCTTGGAAATTTTGTAAACACCCATGACTATGCTGTCCCCCAACACACCTACACCCTATGCATGCATCCTACCTAGCCTAGATCAGTTCCATTCTCAAAGTGAACTTGGACATTTCACCAGAGGCACTCTTGAAATGCCCTGTCAGTACATATGAGTAGTTCCAAGTTGTGGGAAACCTTAGAATTTTTGTTTGTTTGCTTTGTTTTGTTTTATTAGGCCTTTACTGTACATTTTATTTCTTTAAATTTTTTTAAATTTTAATTTATTTTAAACACTTAATCACTAAACATCACTTATCTTGTAAGTTGAATTTGCCCAAAAATGAATACAATTCCCACCAGTGCAGGTGAGGTTGCAAACACTTTACCATCAGCATATCAAAACCCATTTCTGTATCCCATAAATGTCTTGACTATTTTCATCCTTTATTTCTTTTTTTACACTCTTACCCTTCTCCCACCCTCTCCCCACATTGACACCAATATTTATAATTGTTTTCAATGCTTCTATGTCCCCTAATCTTTCAGTTTCCACTATGCCTTCTAACACTTTTTCTGTTGTCTTGCATACCATGGACAGGACTGGAAGCTAAACAAATTTTTATATTCATTTTTATTTTTGCCAGAATCAGTGATTATATTTTCTTGCATCTTTAACCATCAAACAGGGGTCTTAGAAATAAATTTTTGCTGGGAACAGCAGATGGCATAATGGTTAAACAACAGGACTATAATATATTCCACTGCAGTTGAAGTCTCTGACCAAACAACTTAAAACTCACTCCAGGTGTGTGTGCCTGTGTGCCCAAGATCCTGAGAGGAAAATGGAAAAGGGATTGTGGTGTGGCTATCCTCCCAGGGGAAGGTTTCTTGATTTTTGTCTCTGTCTCTCCAGAGAGCTTACACATGCTACATAAAAAATCTCTCAGGGAAAAAAAAAGAAAGCAATTTGCCAAAATAAGTGTTTTGCTTCTATAGTTGGAAAATTCTTAGATTTTAGTCATCAGTCTTCTGAAATGTTCCCCTTTTGTAATCATAGGTATCATCCCTAAATTTCCTGATATCTTAATTTTGAGTAGTGCAGCTTGCTGAATCAAAGCTGAATTTGAAAAACGTTCAACATTGTTACCTTAAGAGATCAATTCATATTTCAGAATAATGACTCAAGGATTTATAGCACTGTTTACATTACTGAGGATTTTCTCCCATTTCAGTTGACTAATGTATAGTAAGTTTTGGATTCTAGTAAAAAGATTCCTTCATTTTTCACATTCATTAGATTTCTAATCTAAGTATTCTCTGATACACAGTAAATTGTGACTTTTTTTGCAGAAGGTTTTACTACACTTTTCACACTTACAGAGTTTCTCTTCCTTGTTAGTGCTCTAATACAGGGTATGGAATGATTTCTCTGAAAGAATTTTTCTACAACATTTCCATTTATAGGACTTACTCTTGCATTCTCTGACATACAGTAAGGGTTGACTTATATTAGATGGAAGATTTTCTATTGGTACATTGATATTCACAGCATTTTTCTTTTGTGAATTCTCTGATGTACATTGAGTGCTGACTTATAAATGAAAGATTTTCTATACTCCCTACATTCATGAAGCTTCTCCCCAGTGTGAGTTTTCAGATGCTTACAAAAACATAGTTTCCAAGAGAAAAATTTCCTATATAATTGCCATTAATAAGGTTTCACTTTGAGGCAGAAGAAGCCAGGCCTTCAGCAGAAGGTTCCACATGGTGCCAGTGAATTAGATTTTTCAGGGAATGAAGATTTTCTACTGATAATACAGCCTCCAACAAATGAGCTAGCAGTAGGGAGCCCCCCACCCTGTACCCCCAGCCTTCTATCTCTCTCTCTG